GATATTGGGAATATTTTATGTTCATCTGCGGTAATATTTATTACATATCAATAGACTTCTTCTACTTTATGCCGTATGTTGGAGATTCAGTTCCATTTCGAATTTTATGAATTCTGTGTACTTAACTTCATATTTCTCGTTCTTCAAATTCCACAAAAGATGAATTCCACCTCTAAAAATAATGAAGTATAATTCGGCTCTCAATTTCAGTCGTGTATGTGAAAACTTTACGAAACAATTAGTTTAGATCACGAAGAAATTCCGTTTTCCCTATATAGAGGAGCTCATGTTATATGTGAAATTATCCCTTCTGGTTAGTACTCAGAACTTTGTCATTTTCTAGATACTTGTCCGGTATCATTAAAAGTCATATTTTTATCCAGGCTGGATTCATGCTGTATACACACCTTCTGATAGTCTGGTTTTTGGTGGTAACTTCCTCCATTCACTTCGTTCTGAAATGCAAATCCAAGTTTACCTCAGCGAGAATCGTATCAATGTTAGTCCTCTTCCATGAAACTTTGTTTTTCACTTTTTTTAAATAAGCTCTTCACTTTTCATTAGTTTGATTAATCTGTCACATCTGCATTGTTCTTGTGGCACAACATTCATTTTTCTCTTCTTTTACAATTTTGCAAGGGTCATTTTTATACGGTGTTTTAGCAGATTGGGTGGTGATCTAATGTAGAGAAGCTTAAGGGGACAAGGAAAGGTTTGAGAGTGCCCTTCAGGTTCATGGTATTTGTGACAGAAAATCTCGGAAGAAAGCCATAAAAGTAGAAGGGAGAAAATGCATCGCGTGAAAAACACGCATCTGTGCGTGCCGAAATGAGTAGCACTAAGGGCGATGTTGGGGAATATTTTATGTTCATCTGCGGTAATATTTATTACATATCAATAGACTTCTTCTACTTTATGCCGTATGTTGGAGATTCAGTTCCATTTCGAATTTTATGAATTCTGTGTACTTAACTTCATATTTCTCGTTCTTCAAATTCCACCTCTAAAAATAATGAAGTATAATTTCGCTCTCAATTTCAGTCGTGTATGTGAAAACTTTACGAAACAATTAGTTTAGATCACGAAGAAATTCCGTTTTCCCTATATAGAGGAGCTCATGTTATATGTGATTGCGGATGTCGTTTTAAGGTGTACGGGGCGTCGTTACGTCCGACCGGCTCGAGTTGATAATGCTAGGTAGGAAAGCTTCATAAATACTGGAATTCTGATGAAGGTCAGGTTTATCAATTTGTGTTTAGGTTTGATTATGTCGGGAAAGTATGGAAAGAAAAAGGAAACCATCGAAAAGTAGTTAGTTTTATATATTGATTTGTTCTTTATTTGTTTTCTTTTTTCGAATAAAATTAAATGCTGTTCAGATAAACTATCAAGACTATATGAGTGGTGGTATACAACTTGAGCAGAAAGATCTGGTGGCTATAGATAATCAATCCGAAATTCAAGACAACGGTACGTGAGCCACTTGGCACATCGTGGTAATCGGTGACCTTTGGTCGAGTGGATAGAGCAACCGGCTTCAATTAACGAGGTCGCAGGTTCGACTTCTGTCGTGATGTTATCTGCTAATGATGAGATAATCATCCTTGCTCTGCGAGCTGTGATCGGAATCTGATGAGGGCTTGTCGTCGTCGGGACGCTTGCCTGATTCTGAGACAACGACTCAGCGGTGAACAGCGTTGGCCTCTGAAGCGGACTTTTGTCCTGTAACAGAAGTTTCCTAGGTGATGGAGTCTATAGTTTTTAGTTTAGGGGTGGTCAACGTCATTGCCATGCATGCCGAAAATACTCTACTGTATAACACTGCTGCTGCTGCTGCTGCCTCAGCTGATCAAGGAGGGAAATTAGCCGATGAGAACATTGAAGAGGAAGTTACGAGCGGTGAAGAGAAAAACGGAGAAGATGGAGACAAAGAGAAAAAAGAAGTCATGCCTCATAATATCAATCCCACCATTTTTTACCATGAAGCCTCGGTTAGTTTACTTTTGTTTTTTAAAGCTTACCATTGGCTCAGTATTCATGACTTCAGATATTTCACGATCTGTATGGAAGATCTACAAGTGCTCATCGTAACCCAGTAGGCGAAGAGCCACCTATACTGTTCAATCAAGGTCCGTGTTTTTGCATCAGTATTATTTCAGCAAGTAAAGCTATTTGTCTTATAATTGTGTTTCAGCTGAGCTTGATCGTATTTCCCATCTTCTGCTACCTGAATATGAGCGATTGTGTGAATATCTACGGAAAAAGAGACTGCTAGATGTGGCTGAAGGCATTACTCAACCTGCTAGTCTGCTTAATTGCTTCAATTGTATCTTACAGAAAAGGCGGGAACAGCTGGTGAGTAAAAATGTGTGCTTGATTATCTCTACATTCGAGCATAATGGTTTGAGTGCTTTTAAAAAACACAGGCATCAGTGCCAATTGTTAATTTTGAAATATCTACTCGCCATGGTGGGATTTATGATGTTGTTGTTATTACGTTCAAATCCGAGAGCATTCAAAGGGGAACGAAAACATTATAAAAACATATCGGACATCAAATTGCGTCACTTGTTTTGAACGATGGTATTCCTTTTTGATGGGCACGCTATTCAGTATTTTAAATGACGTGAAGAGATGGTTGCGCATATTGATTCTTTACAGCAAAACTGGAATTATAATTCAGTATCAGTGCATCTCCTATCCGTGCTGCCATGAGCCGCTTTTATCTCAAAATCTTACTCTAGCGTATAATACCGCCTTCATTAGAGGGTGGTTTCAGAAGCGCAGGCTTGATTTTGCTTACCGTTGAACCTCGCATTTTAGTTTTTTCTCAGTCTCGATTCTTTGTGTGACATTGTTGTAATTTTTCCAACCCGCCCTGATAGCATGTGCACGTTTCAATGGGAGCTGAAGTTATGCGATAACGAACTTGTAGAATTATGCGGTAGCTTGAAAAGCTACGGAGGGAGGAACTGTTGATGAAGATTACTCCTCATCCTCATTTCCAAGCTTGATGTGGTACGATGAGATGAAAGAGATTGTACGAGATGTGATAGGAATCACTGGCAGATAGGGCTTTTTCTTTCCAAATACTGGTTCATGCAGAGTGAAATCTTAGCCAGTTGAGGGAGAAACGTGTTGTGAGTGGCCCATAGTTTCCGCTGTCCTATTTACCCATCTTTGTAGCGTTTCAAACTAGAATGCTACTGGCTGTTGGTACACTCATCATGTTGCAACTACTTGTTATAAGAAGTATTCATGTATATACCGTAAATCGCTTAATCGCTCAGGTCGAGATGAAACTCATTGAACCCATACCACCCGAAGGAAGCGAAGGCGAAGCGTTCGTATAAAAGACAGTCGCAGGTAACAAGTTCTTGTCTTGACATGAAAACACATTTTATTAAACTGTCCCTATAGAGCGTTTGCTTTTTATTCACAAATTTTTTAAGGGTTCTCCGCGAACACCACGTTCGGCGAAATCTGGACAGGTTGTCCCGGCTAAGGAATCCGCTGGTGAAGAAACAGAGGTGCTGAACATTCAGAGAGCCAATTCACACATTTATTGAATTTATCCCTTTTATAATGAGGAATTTCAGGGGCATGTTAACACCGAGGATGAAACGAATGCTAATGAGGCGGCAAATGGTGCTGGTGAAGTGGAAATGGTTAGTATCTCTCCTGTATGTTAATGAGCTTTTATGCATTCATTTTACGCTGTTTTGCCGGCCTGGTGTTTTATATTATTCTTTAATAAGATGTGCTTATACGCCACTTTTTCTTCAATTACGATGCTCTCATATTTGTTTGTTCTAGGCTTGTTGGCACTGACCTTTCCTGTTATGCATGTTAACCCACCGTTTCAGCGATGGTTTCCTTTTTCAGAAAATGGAAGAGGGCACAGGTGAAGAGAGCGGTGCTCATATAAAAAGTGAATATGTGGAAAATGTGGAGAAAAAAGAAGAAGAAGATGAGGAGCAAGATGATGAGGTTAGAGTCTTATATTTGATGCAAGTGTCGTATAGGTCTTCTCTTTGGTGGAATGGAGTGTTATATGTTGTGATGTGTTGCGTGGTTAAATATCAACGAAAGGCTCGTGAAGCATGTGTAATGATACAACTCTGTCTAGCAGTTTACGTGGTTGACGCACCGAGCAAGAAGCGTGTTTAGAGCGCTTCGAAGCCTTCGACATCGCGAAAACGTCAGGCAGATGAAGACTATGACGTAGAAGCTGAGGCAGTACCTGAACCCGAGGAAGACGATGACGAGGACTATGAAGAGAAGGTGTGTGTTGTGCGTGCATTGCTTGTTCTGTGGTGACCAATCACTAAGTTCGAATGCGCTTCCAGTGCATGAGTTCGCAAACTGAAATAGCTGTTTTTAATCGATAATCGTTGATATTCTGAAGATCACCTTAAACTGAGTTACAGCCCAAACGAAAAGGTGCCAAGTCGGAAAAGAAAAAGAAGGAGAAATCAGAAAAGAAACCAAAAGAGGCAAAAGAGAAAAAGACACCAAAGCGACGAACATCATTGTCTTTCGAAGACGCTCTGGGAGGTGGGGATATTCATTTATCAAGAGGTGTGCTTGCGAAAATGTCACATATGCGAAGTGTGCCATATTTAGGAACTCCAAAGAGTGTAAAAAAGAAGCACGACCCTAAGAAGGACAAGCCTATGTTTGTAGGAGGATTGCCCATGGCTCCCATACAGGTAATTTTTCGTGAACATTACAAGTATTACTGTTAATAAGGATAGTTTCAGGATGGTCCCGTTGTGCCTAATGCCTATAATTACGACCCAATGGCAGAAATTATGAAGCTCGGAACTGGACAGTTTCAAAGCGCATATCGGAAGTCAAAACTGGTTAGTTAGTTCTTCTTGCTTTGCCTTTTGCATTACCATGTTGAGAGTGCTAGCTGTGAGACTTCTCAAAAGATGGCTCAATTTTTTTCAAAGGGTTTTTTATCGGCTCCCAGCTCCGGAGCTATCGTAACTATTAAATTTTACCCTTTTACAAATGCAGTCAAGAAAGTTATAGTAGTGTTGAGAGTGATGATGGTAATCAGTGTTCTTATAGCATCCCAGGGTTGAGGATAGTGGGCAAATTTTTGCTTCTTCACATCAACATTGAAGCAAAATTCATATTGGCCTCCAAGGGATAATGAGTTAATGAAGGGTTCAACTTCCGGAATTTGGTATATTAGTGCAAAAGTAGCATTAGCACCATAGTAGAGGGAGTACTTGTTACGCTCTTTTCGGATACGCTATTTTGTTCACCCTGGAAACAAAAACATCAGCGTTTCATGAAAGCTTTTTCTCTTGCCCCACGCCTTTTATGCTACAAAAAGTTCCTCAACTTTTCCAGAACATCACTCCTCCAAAGGACAAAAAGATCTACAAGCTGGAACCAAAGCATCACGATGAAGAAGAGCATCAGGATACCAAGAACGGCGCTGAGAAGAGCTCAAAGCCAGGTAAGTCGCTATGTTGAATAGTCTCTGATTGGGACTGATTATTGAGTTGCTAGTTTATGGTAGTAATTCGTTTCACCGTGCCAGAATTGTTCCAGAACCACCGCGACCACCAGTGATTGCGCCGCTTAGTGTAAATACTAGACGACATAGTGAAGGAGGTGAGCAACTGTGCCGCGTTGCTTTGCAAGCGTGCTAAAATATTACTTGTTATCTCATGGGAGGCCTCGGTGCAGTAGTCCTCGCTTCCGGCATTCACCGAGGACGGGTTTCATTGCCCGCGACTTCGATGACATTCCACGGCAAGTAACCTGGGCCGGGCGAAAACACGCTGGTCTCTCTGACCTCCAAGGCAAGGCTTATGGCAGGGTGGAAGCGTTCAGAGGGTTCGCCATTTAGATTCAACTGCTATATTCATTAACTTTATCGAAGTGGTAATTGCAGAACCCCTACGGAAGTTAGTCCTGCAGCATCTCGTGCATCTCGAGGTTCATTTAGTGAATTCGGTGCCACCAGTGCGGTAGGTGGTGATGGATGAACGTTTTCCTCAATTTCGTCCTGAGAGTTTTCAAATTTTAATGGGTTCAGATCTCTCCGTTGTCAAGAAACGGCTCGGCACACACTACACCACAGCATCATCCCTCACCAGTTAATTCTTTCAGTGAGTGTTTTCCGCAGTTGAAATCGACTACATGTTGAGTTTGCACTGCCGGCATGAGAGTTGCCTCGATCGATTTCGAATTTGTTTGAGGGCTCGTCCAGGCTCAATGAAGCAGGTATCGCCATTGAGTGCGGGCGTTCGTAATCATTTACTTGTTTCGTTCACTGTTTTGAATTTACTAGACTTTTTCTTTCATTGTAGTCTTATTTAGTCTTTCTTCTAAGACGCCGTTATTTATACAACATACCTTTGGCTTTAATTATATCATTACGTCTATTAGGTCAGTCTCTTCTTAAAATCGATAAAAGCACAATTGTGTTACTAGGTGCAGTTCTGAACAGTGCTTCTAATTCATCTGAAGGGTATCTGGAAATTTTTATGGCTGTTTATACATTTTTGGGTCAAAACTGTTCAACTGTTCCCTTCACAATTCTTTTCTTAATCTTATCTCGTTCAGCCACGCGATGAGCGACCAGTGAATAGATTCCAAGAAGTAAGAAAGTGAGCGTTTCATGTGGTTAAGTTACATGATCAATAATTTGTGCATTCTGTGAGCTCAACGCATTACAACTTTTTAATAGGGCTCGATTCGCTGACAATCCAGTATCGGACGTCTCTCCACCCCCCGTATCCACTACTCCACCGTTTATGACATCTCCAGCACCTCTACAATCTCCCGATCTTCCCCCTGTGTTCACATCTTCTTCAACAACAGCGCCACCCACGACAAACGTTACTCCAAAGATTCCCATGAAGCAGGCGTTAGCTCAGTTGGGTCAGATCGTCAAAGAACTTAACGAAGTTAATGCGTTGTAATAGGAGCCGTGACTACTCATTAGTTTTGTTGAGTTTGTGCATAAGCGTCATGTTTAATTGTAAATATCAGTTCCACACGTAGGATCTAGGAAGACTCATTCTGCATGACTGTCTTCTGAATATTATCTCATTCCATATTTACCTTGTTGTTTGAAACACGTTAGGTTTGATGCGACATGTTTCGTATTGAGTCGATCGTTGTTGATTTCGATGTTGTTTTTATTTTCACTGTAATGAATGCTACGCATTACGTTCTTCTTAGCATCCTCATTGAATTTCTCTTAAAGGATCTCTGAGAGATTTGTTTTGATAATTCTCTTCTTTTTCGGCAGTATTGTGCAACACTACACCGAATTCCTGATACAAATATCATGTTTCTTTCTAATTGAGTAAGTTATAACTATGAACGCATGAACTTTCATCTCTTTTTTCTTTCACATCAAGGTTGTTCCTAATCTACTGACACGTTTGAATGTAGTAACAAGTGTTGATTTTGGGTACATCTGTTGAAGTTGAAAGTGATCAAAGAGCAACATGCGAAAGGAAAAGAAATTAGGGAAATCCTCAAGCTTTTTGAGCCTTTTGCGCCAATCTTTCAACGATGGAAAGCACTGCGTCTACAGTTCCCAAAAAAAAAACAAGATTTAGAGATTATTGGGCGGGGGTTCGCTTTTGATAACAGTGAACTTAAGCTCTATAACAAGAAATTCTTTGACGAAAACTGAAAGATCAGGGGTTTCATTTTCAGTTGATGAGTGCTGACCTTTATAGAAAACTGACTGCAGTAGAAGAGCTGGAACGCCAGGCGAGATTTTTAAACAAGTGCAAGGTTAGTTAGTTTGTGTTCCTTCCAAGAGTTTGTCTACACGTTTGCATCCATGTTATCTACAAAATTGTGTGAGGTGATGCGCTTCACTATAGCCTCTGGCAAGTCCTTTTTCGCTGATCCTGTTCAGAATCCAGCTGGACCTTGTGTGCACAGAAAACGCATCGATATGTGGTGGAGTTTCTTGGAAAGTAACCTTGTCTGTTCTGCCCCGGTTTTTGAGATATAAACGACTTGTTTAGGCATTTAGTGAAAGAATGAGCCGGGAAAAAAAGCACAACCCTAGAGATCTGTGCAGTTCTTCGAGCGCAGTTTCGAAGGATGAAAAGCTATATGAAGTTTCCATCATAATTGCTTTACGATATTTTAACACATTGCGTACCGCGTGCGCCACCATGTGGCGCACGATTTCAAGCGAAAGATTACAGTTTTATCTAATTTATTCATCATTTTTCAATGCTCCTGATGTGTTGCACTCATTTTCAGAGCCGGGGAAAGAATAAGTATCATCACTGATAAACTTGTTGGTAGATATAATGACAATTCGTTTTCAATAAACATAAAAAAGGTGCGGAGATACTCGTGTATAAGGCGGTCCGCAATGTGTTAATAGAGGGTTTCAATGCTTTACCTCCTACCCTTGTCCGCGCTTCAAATAGCCAGTAGACACTAAAATTCCAATGGTTTCGTCAAATCTTGCAATGAATTTCTAGAATCGAATGCGCCTTGCATTTCACTTCCATTTAATTGGCGTGGGAATGTATACCTAAAGAGATTTGTCGGCCACCTGTGTCAGGGTTTCTACCCTCATAAAAAGCATCATGGTCTTATCTCCAGAACTGAATTGTAGTTCAAGATTTCTTTGTTGTCGTTCAAGTTCAAGATATCACTCCCAAACAAACAGATCTAAAAACTTATTTGATAGTCGAGTAGCTATGTACCTCATTTGCTGATTTATAGGATAAGTTTGTATATAAAAAGCCAGCCGGTATTGCACTATATTTTCGAGAACCAATTGCAACGGCAAGGATTGAGAATAAAAGTCAGTTGGCCCTCACCCCTTCATTTATTTGTAATTAAATCATGTTTGATGTTCTGAAGGGTTCGAATGTAGATTGAATTTTTCAGAGGAGCTCGAGGAAGCCAAAGGAAAGGTCACCGGATTCCAATAGAAAATGAAAAGGTGATTGTTGAAATAAAGAAATCAGGTTGCTTTTCAATAGACAGGGTTAGAGCTTACGAATGTGACTCAGTTGAGAGTAGTTGGGGCACAGGCAGTTGACCGTGAATACTCTGGGGAATTTGTGCTTTTGAAAATGGCACAAGACCTGATTATATGCTGGCGAGGGTTCATAGGTATTCTAGAACCACGCTGCCAGAGAGTTGGCAAAAGTCGTGATTAGCGCCGAACTTAAGCCTTAAGATTCTGAAAAAGGAAGCAAAGGGTAGCTTAGGCTCTCTTCTTATCATAAAAACTCTATAGTTACTGTAAATAAGGAGACCTCACATTGGATAGCAGTGATGAGGGTTAGCGAAACATCTGTGGGTGTGCGGAGAAAATTGCTCTTCACCTTGAACGTAACATTATGACCTGCAGAAATTAATTCCGCTGAAATCAGTAAAATGAGAAAGATTCGGAACTAGAGATGTTATAATTTTGCAAAAATTTGGATTTTATAGGCGTTATACGGCCGCTGTTGTGGTGTTGGGTGACATTGGTCGAAGTCCTC